GAGGGAGTTAACATCTCATCAGGGTCGGGATAGAACCCACAACCTCCTGTATACCAGGCGAGGGAGTTAACATCTCACCAGGGTCGGGATAGAACCCACAACCTCCTGTATACCAGGCGAGAGAGTTAACATCTCACCAGCGTCGGGATAGAACCCACAACCTCCTGTATACCAGGCGAGGGAGTTAACATCTCACCAGGGTCGGGATAGAACCCACAACCTCCTGTATACCGGGCGAGGGAGTTAACATCTCACCAGGGTCGGGATAGAACCCACAACCTCCTGTATACCAGGCGAGGGAGTTAACATCTCACCAGGGTCGGGATAGAACCCACAACCTCCTATATACCAGGCGAGGGAGTTAACATCTCATCGGGGTCGGGATAGAACCCACAACCTCCTGTATACCAGGCGAAGGAGCTAACATCTCACCAGGGTCGGGTTAGAACCCACAACCTCCTGTATACCAGGCGAGGGAGTTAACATCTCACCAGGGTCGGGATAGAACCCACAACCTCCTGTATACCAGGCGAGGGAGTTAACGTCTCATCAGGGTCGGGATAGAACCCACAACCTCCTGTATACCAGGCGAGGGAGTTAACATCTCATCAGGGTCGGGATAGAACCCACAACCTCCTGTATACCAGGCGAGGGAGTTAACATCTAATCAGGGTCGGGATAGAACCCACAACCTCCTGTATACCAGGCGAGGGAGGTAACATCTCACCAGGGTCGGGATAGAACCCACAACCTCCTGTATACCAGGCGAGGGAGTTAACATCTCACCAGGGTCGCGATAGAACCCACAACCTCCTGTATACCAGGCGAGGGAGTTAACATCTCATCAGGGTCGGGATAGAACCCACAACCTCCTGTATACCAGGCGAGGGAGTTAACATCTCATCAGGGTCGGGATAGAACCCACAATCTCCTGTATACCATGCGAGGGAGTTAACATCTCACCAGGGTCGGGATAGAACCCACAACCTCCTGTATACCAGGCGAGAGAGTTAACATCTCACCAGCGTCGGGATAGAACCCACAACCTCCTGTATACCAGGCGAGGGAGTTAACATCTCATCAGGGTCGGGATAGAACCCACAACCTCCTGTATACCGGGCGAGGGAGTTAACATCTCACCAGGGTCGGGATAGAACCCACAACCTCCTGTATACCAGGCGAGGGAGTTAACATCTCATCAGGGTCGGAATAGAACCCACAACCTCCTGTATACCGGGCGAGGGAGTTAACATCTCACCAGGGTCGGGATAGAACCCACAACCTCCTGTATACCAGGCGAGGGAGTTAACATCTCACCAGGGTCGGGATAGAACCCACAACCTCCTGTATACCAGGCGAGGGAGTTAACATCTCATCAGGGTCGGGATAGAACCCACAACCTCCTGTATACCAGGCGAGGGAGTTAACATCTCATCAGGGTCGGGATAGAACCCACAACCTCCTGTATACCAGGCGAGGGAGTTAACATCTCATCAGGGTCGGGATAGAACCCACAACCTCCTGTATACCGGGCGAGGGAGTTAACATCTCACCAGGGTCGGGATAGAACCCACAACCTCCTGTATACCAGGCGATGGAGTTAACATCTCATCAGGGTCGGGATAGAACCCACAACCTCATGTATACCGGGCGAGGGAGTTAACATCTCACCAGGGTCGGGATAGAACCCACAACCTCCTGTATACCAGGCGAGGGAGTTAACATCTCACCAGGGTCGGGATAGAACCCACAACCTCCTGTATACCAGGCGAGGGAGTTAACATCTCATCAGGGTCGGGATAGAACCCACAACCTCCTGTATACCAGGCGAGGGAGTTAACATCTCATCAGGGTCGGGATAGAACCCACAACCTCCTGTATACCAGGCGAGGGAGTTAACATCTCATCAGGGTCGGGATAGAACCCACAACCTCCTGTATACCAGGCGAGGGAGTTAACATCTCACCAGGGTCGGGATAGAACCCACAACCTCCTGTATACCAGGCGAGGGAGTTAACATCTCATCAGGGTCGGGATAGAACCCACAACCTCCTGTATACCAGGCGAGGGAGTTAACATCTCATCAGGGTCGGGATAGAACCCACAACCTCCTGTATACCGGGCGAGGGAGCTAACATCTCACCAGGGTCGGGATAGAACCCACAACCTCCTGTATACCAGGCGAGAGAGTTAACATCTCACCAAGGTCGGGATAGAACCCACAACCTCCTGTATACCAGGCGAGGGAGTTAACGTCTCATCAGGGTCGGGATAGAACCCACAACCTCCTGTATACCAGGCGAGGGAGTTAACATCTCATCAGGGTCGGGATAGAACCCACAACCTCCTGTATACCAGGCGAGGGAGTTAACATCTAATCAGGGTCGGGATAGAACCCACAACCTCCTGTATACCAGGCGAGGGAGTTAACATCTCACCAGGGTCGGGATAGAACCCACAACCTCCTGTATACCAGGCGAGGGAGTTAACATCTCACCAGGGTCGGGATAGAACCCACAACCTCCTGTATACCAAGCGAGGGAGTTAACATCTCACCAGGGTCCGGATAGAACCCACAACCTCCTGTATACCAGGCGAGGGAGTTAACATCTCATCAGGGTCGGGATAGAACCCACAACCTCCTGTATACCAGGCGAGGGAGTTAACATCTCACCAGGGTCGGGATAGAACCCACAACCTCCTGTATACCAGGCGAGAGAGTTAACATCTCACCAGCGTCGGGATAGAACCCACAACCTCCTGTATACCAGGCGAGGGAGTTAACATCTCATCAGGGTCGGGATAGAACCCACAACCTCCTGTATACCGGGCGAGGGAGTTAACATCTCACCAGGGTCGGGATAGAACCCACAACCTCCTGTATACCAGGCGAGGGAGTTAACATCTCACCAGGGTCGGGATAGAACCCACAACCTCCTATATACCAGGCGAGGGAGTTAACATCTCATCGGGGTCGGGATAGAACCCACAACCTCCTGTATACCAGGCGAAGGAGCTAACATCTCACCAGGGTCGGGTTAGAACCCACAACCTCCTGTATACCAGGCGAGGGAGTTAACATCTCACCAGGGTCGGGATAGAACCCACAACCTCCTGTATACCAGGCGAGGGAGTTAACGTCTCATCAGGGTCGGGATAGAACCCACAACCTCCTGTATACCAGGCGAGGGAGTTAACATCTCATCAGGGTCGGGATAGAACCCACAACCTCCTGTATACCAGGCGAGGGAGTTATCATCTAATCAGGGTCGGGATAGAACCCACAACCTCCTGTATACCAGGCGAGGGAGGTAACATCTCACCAGGGTCGGGATAGAACCCACAACCTCCTGTATACCAGGCGAGGGAGTTAACATCTCACCAGGGTCGCGATAGAACCCACAACCTCCTGTATACCAGGCGAGGGAGTTAACATCTCATCAGGGTCGGGATAGAACCCACAACCTCCTGTATACCAGGCGAGGGAGTTAACATCTCATCAGGGTCGGGATAGAACCCACAATCTCCTGTATACCATGCGAGGGAGTTAACATCTCACCAGGGTCGGGATAGAACCCACAACCTCCTGTATACCAGGCGAGAGAGTTAACATCTCACCAGCGTCGGGATAGAACCCACAACCTCCTGTATACCAGGCGAGGGAGTTAACATCTCATCAGGGTCGGGATAGAACCCACCCCCTCCTGTAGACCGGGCGAGGGAGTTAACATCTCACCAGGGTCGGGATAGAACCCACAACCTCCTGTATACCAGGCGAGGGAGTTAACATCTCATCAGGGTCGGAATAGAACCCACAACCTCCTGTATACCGGGCGAGGGAGTTAACATCTCACCAGGGTCGGGATAGAACCCACAACCTCCTGTATACCAGGCGAGGGAGTTAACATCTCACCAGGGTCGGGATAGAACCCACAACCTCCTGTATACCAGGCGAGGGAGTTAACATCTCATCAGGGTCGGGATAGAACCCACAACCTCCTGTATACCAGGCGAGGGAGTTAACATCTCATCAGGGTCGGGATAGAACCCACAACCTCCTGTATACCAGGCGAGGGAGTTAACATCTCATCAGGGTCGGGATAGAACCCACAACCTCCTGTATACCGGGCGAGGGAGTTAACATCTCCGAGCCACCGTGGTGCCGTGATGGAACGGACAGCGTCCGAGAGGACGGACGTCCGCTCCGGCGGAGATGGAGCGACGATCGAATCAGCTCACGGTGCAGGCGGCCGCATGGATCGCGCCGCGGGGAGATGGCGACGGCTTTGCGGGGGGAAAGGAAGAACGTCATCCAGCAGTGGATGGAACATGCCTGGTGGTGATGAAAATGATGTTGATGATGTATGTTGAACCTCCTTCTCTCTCACACCGTACGTAGCCAACCCGTGCTAATCGAAGGTGCGGAGCGGGTGAGGAGCGGGTGAGTGGTGGAGTCGAATGAGATGTGGTTGTTGGTGATGATGGTGATGATGGTGACGGTGGGATTATTTTTGGTGATGATGATGGTGAGATTAATGTTGGTGATGTTGGTGATGATTTTTGGATGAATATTGGTGATGTTGGTGATGATGATGGGATTAATGTTGGTGATGATTGTGATGGTGGTGGTGGGATTAATGTTGGTGATGTTGGTGATGATGGTGACGGTGGGATTATTTTTGGTGATGATGATGGTGAGATTAATGTTGGTGATGTTGGTGATGATTTTTGGATGAATATTGGTGATGTTGGTGATGATGATGGGATTAATGTTGGTGATGATTGTGGTGGTGGTGGTGGTGGGATTAATGTTGGTGATGTTGGTGATGATTTTGGGATGAATGTTGGTGATGATGATGGGATTAATGTTGGTGATGATGATGGGATTAATGTTGATGATGTTGGTGATGATGGTGGAATTAATGTTGGTGATGATGATGGGATTAGTGTGTATAAATACGAACTAACTTAACGGTGAGAGATGGTGCAAGTGTTCGCACCTCTGTTGTGCTCGCCACCTGGAGATGGGCGACTCTCTCTTCGGGACCCCGCGTAACCCGTCGGCCCCTCCTGCGCTTCTTCCTGACCCCGCCGATGGTGGAGTTCAAAGGGGATCCGTGTGGAACCCGCCGCAGGTCCTCAGCGAAACGGGGTCTCCTGTCACAACGGGGGTCTCTATATAGGGGATGGCGTGGTCGGGCGGGGGGAGAGGGGGCGGGGCGCTGAGGATCGCGCGTCGACACACGCAAAAACAAAGATCCCCCGTGTAGCCTGTGACAGACTTGGGGCAAGTGCTGTTGGGGGGTGGCGCCTATGAAGGCTGGCACAGCACACAAGGGGGTGGGTGGCCGCAAACACGCCCGGCCGCCTTTGTCTCTCGAGTGGCGATGTTTACACACCACACCAGGTACTCATTTGTGGCTGGGTCGACCTAAGGGAGGCCCAGGACCGGTGTTGGCCATGAGCGGGAATCTAACTCGAAGAGTTCATAGCGCGGCGCGCTAACTGCTACACTACCGCTCCCCACGCAGACACACGTAGAGACACAGACACACATAGAGACACAGACACACATAGAGACACAGACACACATAGAGACACAGACGCACATAGAGACACAGACACACATAGAGACACACATAGAGACATAGACGTACATAGAAACACAGACACACATAGAGACATAGACACACATAGAGACACACATAGAGACACAGACACACATAGAGACACAGACACACATAGAGACACAGACACACATAGAGACACAGACACACATAGAGACACACATAGGGACACAGACGTACATAGAAACACAGACACACATAGAGACACACATAGAGACATAGACACACATAGAGACACACATAGAGACACAGACACACATAGAGACACAGACACACATAGAGACACAGACACACATAGAGACACAGACACACAGAGAGACACAGACGCACATAGAGACACAGACACACATAGAGACACACATAGAGACACAGACGTACATAGAGACAAAGACACACATAGAGACACACATAGAGACATAGACACACATAGAGACACAGACACACATAGAGACAGACATACATAGAGACACAGACGCACATAGAGACACAGACACACATAGAGACACACATAGAGACACACAGAGACACAGACACACATGGAGACACAGACGCACATAGAGACATACATAGAGACACAGACGCACATAGAGACAGACACACATAGAGACACAGACACACATAGAGACACGGACACACATAGAGACACACATAGAGACACAGACACACATAGAGACACAGATGCACATAGAGACACAGACACACATAGAGACACAGACACGCATAGAGACACAGACACACATAGAGACACACATAGAGACACAGACACACATAGAGACACAGATGCACATAGAGACACAGACACACATAGAGACACAGACACACATAGAGACACACATAGAGACACAGACACACATAGAGACACAGACGCACATAGAGACACAGACAAACATAGAGACACAGACGCACATAGAGACACAGACACACATAGAGACACACATAGAGACACAGACACACATAGACACACAGACGCACATAGAGACACAGACACACATAGAGACACAGACGCACATAGAGACACAGACACACATAGAGACACAGACACACATAGAGACACAGACACACAAAGAAACGCACACACACAGACACACATAGAGACACACATAGAGACACAGACACACATAGAGACACAGACACACATAGAGACACAGACACACATAGAGACACAGACACACATAGAGACACACAGACACACAGACACACATAGAGACACAGACACACATAGTAACGCACACACACATAGAGACACAGACGCACATAGAGACACACACACACAGACACACTGCGACACACGGGGTAACATACGCGAACCGTACCCACAGAAAGACAAACATTCCCCGTATCGGGTTTAACAGACTGTTGGGGGCAGGTGATGTTAGCGAGCACCTATTACAAAGACAGGAAATGGCTCACGATGGCGGTGGAGCTGTTGTGTGGCCAGAACGACATTCCACGCCCAGCCGCCTTTGTCTCCCCCAGTGCTGATATAGAAAAGCATTGGGTCGGGACACCATGAGACATTGCGGGCCGTCCATAAATGACGTCACGCACCTGGGTGGGGGGGTGGGTCAGACATTTGTGACGATGTGTGACGAGGCGGGGGGGGGGGGGTTGAGAAATGTGACGTCACATCAAAATGCGCAACTTTAAATAAATATAGACAACACGTTGTACTTAATTAGACTTTTTTTAATGTATCCTACAACATGATAGTGCAGCGCCACATGAAATACGCACTACAATGACAATAGTTTAAAGCGATTTGAAGCATGGTTTTTTTTGGGGGGGGGGGGCAGAGCTTTGTGACGTCATATTTGAGGGGGGGTCTGACTTTTTGTGACGTCGTGTGACGAGGGGGGGGGGCGTCCAAAATCGCGTGACGTCATTTATGGACGCCCCCTTGATGAGGATGGTGAAGAGGGGGCTTTGACCGCTTTGTGATGTGAACCGCCTCACCACACACGTTGCCCATTAACGTGAATTGGTTCGCTGTCCCTCCCCCCCACCCCGCCCCATTCCGATGTATCTGTTGAAAACACATTCCCGAACAATCACAAGCACGTGGCCGTTTACCCTGACGACAACACAACAACAACAACACAACAACAACATTGTGATCCCCATGACAACCTCCACGACCTCCCTCAACTAAGAGTCCACTCTCCGAGATCGCCACCAGTGTCGCGTCCGTTCGTTTGGCAAATGAAATATCTCGGTGCGCTCTGCACGCGCCTGATGATTGCTTAGCAAGGGCCCGAGCGATGGGCGAGAGGAAGACTGAGCGCCGATTTGGTTCGTGAGTGGGCGAGTGATTGGGTTCTTGCTTGAGTGTGTGTGAGTGGCTTGTGTGTGAATGTGTGTGTGTGAGTGGTCTGGCCTAACAACCCCCTACCTCCTCGCGGTGCCGGACGGGCAACGCTGTCGTGGACAGTGCTGTGGGAGGGAGGGCCAATTCCGATTGGCCTTTCCCCTCATGGCATCTGTGACCACCACAGCAGCTAAATGGGGGCTCTGGACAGGTGCGAGGGGCTGGTAACCCCTCCACCTTCAAAAAATTACCACTAAACCACGTCTAAAATATCTAACTAATAAGCTTGTGCCGGAGGCCCCGGGGGGACAGGCGTCAATGACGTCTCCTTGCCAAACCCCATTTGGCGGAGCCAAAAGATTGAATCTTTACCTTCGGGGCTCCTCCAGAAACAACGAAAAGCCACGACGGATGGCCATGTGAATGCTCCAACGCTCACTGCGGAGGAGAGGCTGCCACTCCTCTGTCGGGAGCTGGACCGGTACCGCCTGGATCTCTATGGCATTCAGGAGGTCCAGTGGACTGGCTCTGGCTCGTGCCACCATGAGGGGTGGACAGTCCTCTACTCGGGGCAGGAGACTGCCAAACAACAGGGTGTGGCTCTTCTGCTGAACAAAAGAATGAAGGGGGCGTGGGAGCGTGGCGGTGAGGTGTGGGAAGCTGTAAGCCCCAGGCTACTTTGGGCTCGCCTTCCCATCAACCGGTGGTGAGGAGTGGTGGTCGTGGTTACTTATGCCCCTATCGAAGACGATGCATCATTGATGCATGCCGGGTCCAAGCAAGAACATCTGCTGGACTACATAGTGATGGAATAGCGGATGCGGGCCCATGTCCTTGACACCAGGACCTACCGTGGAGCTGATCTGCCCTCTGACCATCGACTAGTCATCTGTAAGATGCGCCTGCCATTCTTCCACTCCGGTGGTGGGTGTACACCCAGGACCTCATTCCAACCTAAGATGGCCTGGTCTCAGCTGATGAAAGTTGCAAGCGATAATTTCATCATCGCTTGCGGCTGGGGTTGGCATCATTCCCCACTCCTACTGATGTCGAGGGTAAATGGGCGAGGTTTAGGACTGTGACTCATGCAGCTGCAATGGCTGCTTTGGGTACGCGGTCCAGACCTCCCCAGAGACCCTGGCTGACAGAGGAGGTGTTCAGGATGGTTTAAAAATAGTGACAGGCCCACTCTAATCGTCTACAGCATCCCACTTCAGAGAATGAGGAGGCTTACCGCAGCCTTCGCTCCGAGGTTCAGAGAGCCGTGAGGCGCTGCAAGGATGGGTGGTGGTCGCGGGATGCTGAGGAGATGGAGTCTGCCTCAGTGGCCCGCGATCACAAATCCCTATTTAACTCCATCAGAAAAGTAACCTGCAGCACCACACCTATTATCATAATTAGGGGAAAAAACGGTGATCCAATCTCCGATGCCCAGGAACAGGTTTGCAGATTTGCTGAGCATTTCTGTGAGGTCCTGGGGTGGGGAAATCCTTCAGCCAGGAAAACAATGTGGCACAAAGTGGGGATGACCCTGCTGAGGCTGCGGTGCCTCAAATATTGGAAGAAGAAGTCACCCTTTGTGAGTGGCTGGCTGAGGTGCCATCTGTTGAGGAAGTACTGAAGGCGATCCAGAGTCTGAGACCAGGAAAGGCACCGGGCAGAGATGATCTCCCAAGCGAAATGCTGAGGGAGGGTGGCGTTTGTGCACAGACTGCCCTATATGACATCATAACAACAGTCTGGACCACTGGACAGGTTCCGCAGGATTGGAAGGATGCCCTGGTGGTCCCCCTCTTTAAGATGGGGGACCGCACAGACTGTAACAACTACAGGGGCATCTCACTCCTCAGTGTGCCGAGAAAGGTCCTAGCAAGGATTATTCAACATCGCCTTGCTAGGCACGCTGAGGAGAGGCTTGTGGAGCCCCAATGCGGTTACAGGAAAGGGCGGTCCTGCACAGATGCCATATTTTCTGTCCGTCTGCTACAGCAGAGGTGTAGGAAATTCCAACAAAACCTACATCTCTGCTTTATTGACCTGGTCAAGGCCTATGACACCATCAGTAGGCCTGGGCTCTGGGTTGTTCTTCGTGCTTTCAGAGTCCCTGACCCTCTGCTCATGATCATTAAGGACCTTCATGATGGTGAGCGGGCCCGGGTAAAACTACGTGGCCGGGAGTCACAGCCATTCCCTGTGCACCTTGGGGTGCGACAGG